AGTAAAATGAAAATTTATATTAAACTGAATTATTTCTCCAACAGAGGAACAAGCCATCTATTTGCTTGCCGAATCATCCAGCAGTGGACTGAACAAAACTTTAAATTTTACAAACGTGTTAAATCATGCAGTCTGTTGTCAAACTCAACAGAAGCTACCAAAAAGTGCATGTGTGAACAAAGAGTTCTCTGGTAAACTACACTCAGGTGGTTTCCAGTAAAACTGCACATTATATCAGTTTGTAACAATTACATATATATCATATATGTATCAGTTTTATTAGCTAATCACATAGCTGAGATTGTATGTTTGAAGGTGGGCATATGCTTTTATTTTCCCTTGGTTTTTTTCAGTGTTATGCATAATTGTTGATAAAGCACTGTCTATATCTGAAAGTGCTCTTTCTCTTCTTATTTAGACATTAGCAGAGACATGTTTTCAGTATGAAACATTAATTCAAGCATCTACAAATATTTTGGATCATTCAGTGATATAAGTTCAGAAAACTAAACAAGTCTATTTTTCTCAAGTCTATAGATTTTCCTTCAGCTGTGTAATTAGCAGATCAAAATCTTATGAGGGCTTTCAAATTGATTTCATACTTTATTTCCATTATCCAGGAGATTTTAGTATGTTGCTTTATTTTGAGAGTTGTTGAATAAGTGTGATACAGTAGATTGGTCGTGTGTCCAACAAAAAAAAACTGTGGTCTCCATTATCCTTTGCTTCAGCTCTGGTGCATCCCCACTGAGTCCACAGCTAATGTCAGGGTCAACCACTATACATGGGGACTGGTCATATTAACATCTGCCATCATTATATTCAAACCACAGCATGAAGGTGACACCAAACACTTGAAACCCTGCATTGGTATGAATCTTAAAATTTGTGTTCAAATGAATACAAATTTTGTGTCATCAGAGCTGGGGGGATGGGGGTGAGGGGATCACTGGGAGACACAGTTGTCACCCATGTACTTAGCACAGCGGCCTGAGATGCTTTTCCTCAGCTCATCGATGTCTCTCCTCAGCTGGCCGACCTCCATCAGCATGAACCTCAGCTCTTCTCTGACAACCTCTCTCCTGTCCTTCTCTTCTGCTGAAACACCCAATGCTGTATATAGACATTAAAGTAAGAGATAAGGTACAGTTCCCAGACTATCACTGAATTAACACAGGAATAGTGGATCAATGCCTTTACATAAAGCAGTGTCAAAATTTGTACTGTGTCATTGATCATTTTTCTTGTCAAGAGTAAAATGAGAATATTGCTAACACTCTTTCTATTAAATGGAATGCTTAGCCTTGCAAAGCATAAAGATTGGAAGTAGTGTGTGTGTGTGTGTGTGTGTGTGTGTGTGTGTGTGTGTGTGTGTGTGTGCTCTTGCACTACCCACATACATTTCATACCCAGGAGTAGAGACAGGTTGGGCTCTTTCCCTTGTGCTCTCTGAGCCAGGATGTTGCACAGAGCCTGGAGGTCTAGTAGACACAGGGACATCTCTCTCAGCAGCTGACCCACTTCTGGCATTTCCACATGGGACAGAGGGTGCACCACTAAGCTTTCATCCAACTGCCAATGAAAAAAGAAGACATATTTTATTGTGACTATTATAAGCAACATACTAAAATCTCCTGGATAATG